CTTGTAGGGCTTCTCACATGTCCCTCATTTCTACCTTTCCATTACATCAGTTTGCATGTGGCCAGCAGTAACAGCTTGGTTGATCAAACCCTGATCCACCACGAGGCCTGGTGTCAGACCGAACTGTGGGGTCATTGACCCCTGAAACCCTCTCTAGGTATACTCCAGGTATACCACCACACATTGACTTTACTGCCCACCTTAGCCCATAGCCACCTTCTGTTTTCCATTGCTGTTACCTTTCTTTTTTCTGATAATGGTTGTGCAGGCATACCTTGCTTTACAGCACTTCACTAATATGCTGATTTTCTATTATGTTATGTTTATTATTTTTGGCACTTGCCTTACATTTAAGATAGTTTTCAGTGGTGACTTATTTTTATTTTCTTATTTATTATATTTACTTTTGCATCTTTTTTAGGGTTATCTCTTTTGCACACTTAACCCTTTCAGGGTTGGTGCCGTACTAGTACACATAAATTCTAGCGCCTTCAAATCTAGCGAGAGAAAGCTCGTGGGCCTACATATGAAAGAATGGGTCTATGTGGTCAGTGTGCACAGTATAAAAAAAATCCTGCAGCACACAGTGTGTAATGAGAAAAAACTCCGACCATGTTTTTGCTTTAAAACAGCGACTTTGCAGTGTATTTTTGTATGCTATTTATGGTTGTATTCTAGTTTTCCTGGTCTCATTTTATAGAATAGAAGACATATTACTGAATTTGAGATGATTTTCTTTGGTTTCACAATGAAAAGTACCTTGAAATTGAGCTCAAAGTAGCAGAAATGTTCGATTTTGCCAAAGTTCAAAAGTAAACAAATCATGCCATGTGTCCAATGCACGTCAACTGGTGAGTCTAATATTCTTTCACTAGTGCGCTGATATTATTTATACCATTTCTACAATAATGCAGTAGTCTGCATAACAGTAACTCTTCTATTTTTTGTGAGAATAAAAATTCAAAGTGGAAAGCAGAAGAAATGTAAGAGAGGCCTGGGGACGTGACTGATGAACAGAAAATTTTTTATTTTAGTGCCAGGAATCTCTGTCTTGTTTATTCTGGACCCTTTTGGAAATTGGCATCTTTTGAAATTTGTGTGAAATTGGCAAAATTGCCAATTTCTGACCACTTTAATGGATAGTTGAATTTGGTAAATGGGTGGTTTCTTGTACTCATTCGATAGAAAAAATGGAATTCTAGCAAAATAGTTATGATTTTTGTCAACTGGTACATTGGAATTGGCCGAAAATAGGGCTCAAAGTGGGCGAAATCGCTGATGTGTCAACATCTTCGAGACCGCTAACTTTGCGAGAGCATAATTCCGTAAGTTTTCCATCAAATTTCATACTTTTGGTGTCATTATGATCGGGAAAAGATTCTCTATCATTTCATAAGAAAGAATAATTTCTTTTTTTGAAAAATTTCTGACCCTGAGAACAAGTTCAGGAGAGGGCCTGCCAATCCTGAAAGGATTAACCCTTTCGAGGTCAGTTGCCATTGTACTACACCTTTGAGGTCAAGGTCAGTGCTGTAGAACTATGTAATGAGCTTGGCTCACTCAGATAAACTGTGGGTGGTAAATCTTGGCTTAGATGTGAGAGAATGGGTCTATGCAGTGAGTGTGCACTATGTACTCAAAATCCTGCCCCCTTGCAGTGCATGGGCTGATCACATCATCTTTATCTCACCACTACTGCTGTCGTTAACCCTTTGGGGGTTTCGGACGTACTAGTACGTCTTACGACCCAGGGTTTTTGACGTACTAGTACGCCTAAATTCTAGCGCCCTCAAATCTAGTGAGAGAAAGCTGGTAGGCCTACATATGTAAGAATGGGTCTGTGTGGTCAGTGTGCACAGTATAAAAAAATCCTGCAGCACATAATGAGAAAAAAAACTTTGACCGTGTTTTTGGATTAAAACAGCGACTTTGCACTGTATTTTCATATGGTATTAATTGTTGTATTCTAGTTTTCTTGGTCTCATTTTATAGAATGGAAGACATATTACAGAAATTGAGATGGTTTTGACTGATTTTACAATGAAAAGTACCTTGAAATTGAGCTCAAAGTAGCAGAAATGTTCGATTTTTACCAAAGTTCAAAAGTAAACAAATCATGCCAAGTATCCGATACACATCAACTGGTGAGTCTAATATTCTTTCACAAGTGCGCTGATATTATTTATACCATTTCTACACTAATGCAGTAGTCTGCATAGCAGTAAATCTTATTTTTTTTGTAAGAATAAAAATTCAAAGTGGAAAGCCAAAGAAATATAAGAGGGGCCTGGGGATGTGACTAACGAACAGAGAACTTGTTATTTTAGTGCCAGGAATGTCTTTCTTGTTTATTCTGGACCCTATTCGGAAATTGGCATCGTTTGAAATTTGTGTGAAATTGGCAAAATTGCTAAATTCTGACCACTTAATTGGATAGTTGAATTCGGTAAATGGGCAGTTTCTTGTACTCATTCGATAGAAAAAGTGGAGTTTTAGCGAAATAGGTATGATTTTTGTTGACTAGTACACTGGAATTGGCCGAAAGTAGAGCTCAAAATCGCCAATGCATAAACATCGTCAAGACCGCTAACTTTGCGAAGGCATAATTCTGTAAGTTTCTCATCAAATTTCATACTTTTGGTGTCATTATGATCGGGAAGAGATTCTCTATCTTTTCATAAGAAAAAATTTTTTTTTTTTTTTTAAATTTGGCCAACCCTGAGAACAAGTCTCTGAGAGGACCTATCAACCCCCAAAGGGTTAATACATTCTCCTCTGTATTTAACTGATGAAGCTACAGGCAAAATGTTTCAACAGTGAAGATAACCAGCTGTTGCATATTTGTCTTAATCATAAATTTGTTGGTATTTTATACCATTTTCAGCATCCAAACTGGCAGGAGTTGAGTATTTTGTGAGACAATAGGAAGGAGTAAACTCCCTTATAAATTATCTTTTTCAAAGATAGTAATGGCAAGTTGTGTATTGGCCTGTAGTTATTTATCTCAGTTGGCTCATCTCTTCAGATCAGTGTAACTCTTGCTATCTTAAGCATCGTTAGGAAAGTTGAAGCTTTAAATGATTTGTTGAACAAAGTTGCAATAGCGAGTGACAGTATATGAGCTGCTTTTTATACATAAGTCGTGGTCAGTTAGTTAGGCTTCTTGTCTTATTTTTAAGTGAATTTATTAAAGTTTAACCTCAGTAGGATTAGTTAGATGAAAATAAATGGTATAAATACTGACACAATGGAAACATAAACACACATGCAGTTTAATGTGATCCTTTACTGACAATGTTTCGCCTACACAGTGGGCTTTTTCAAGTCACAAACAGATCTTCCTGGGGTGGAAGGTACGGGAGTATTTATAGTCAGGTTCAGAATGTTGAGGTCAGGTGGAGAATGCTGCATCTGATGATCTACCGGGTGGGGTTATAGAGTCTTGGGTAGCTTGGCAGGGGTATTGGACAAGTTGTGAGTAGACCTTCTGCAGTGTTCTATGTTCTTATGTGGGATAACGATGAAGAAGTTTCTTGGCAAGTGGTTCAGCTATGTTATAGAAGCCATTGTTCTGGTTGAAATTGTTGGTTATAGAGATAAGCGATGATTCCAAGATTCGTAGGTATTGAGTGTTGTCTTCTGTGGCGATAAGTCTTGAGTTTCTGTAGTTAATTAAATGGTTGTGTGAATTGCGATGTTGTACACAGGCATTCCTTGTATCGTCAGTCCTGCTTACATATTGGTGTTCTGAAATACGTGTTTGGAGGTCTCTTGATGTTTCGCCCACGTATAATTTGTTGCAGTCATTATAAGAGATGGAAGATGGAAGCTTGTCCTGTCTACTACTGGTGATGTCCTTGATGGTCGTGGTTGTGGAGGTAGATACTTGGAATGAGCTACTGGAAAAGATGTTGGAAACATGTTTAGCAATGGAGTTGGTGGGGAGGACTATGCATCTCTTCTCGGCAGTGTCTTCTCTGGGTGTGTTGAAGATGTTTAATGCCTGCCGTCTGCAGTCTCTGATGAAGTGACAAATTTAGAAAATACTTGTTCAATTATAGTGCATTCTTCCTCAAGGAACTCATTTCTGCAGATTCTCAAAAAATCTGGATAATTTCCAGTAAGATATTTACTCACCTGAGTACTTGAAATCGGGATTTTGCTTCCTAGTTTGGATCCTGTAATAGAGAAGAAAACATTAAGTACCATCAGCAGACTGGATGTGAGGCAGTGTCAGCAGGCTGGATGTAAAGCAGTGTCAGCAGGCTGGATGTAAGGCAGTGTCAGCAGGCTGGATGTGAGGCAGTGTCAGCAGGCTGGATGTGAAGCAGTGTCAGCAGGCTGGGTGTGAGGCAGTGTCAGCAGGTTGAATGTAAGGCATTGTCAGCAGAGTGGATGTGAGGTTCATTTAGTTTAGTTCAGTTAATATCTCTGGTTTTGGCTGATTTTTGAGAGCCAGGATTTCTATAGTTCTTCATCAAATTATATCAAACAAATGTCAGTTCTTTATACATGTACATGCTTACAAAGTACAAACACAAAGTTTGAAGGCAGTTGGTGAAAATTAACCAAGATAGAAAATATAAGTTTTCATTAATAAAAATGTTCTATCAAACCCAGAATTATAGACTTTTTCCCATTTTGTTTGGCAATTTATTTTCTGAAAGTGTGGAAATTTGTTAATGAGGCAGTACAGTATTATCCCACAGTATTAATTAGGCAGTACTGTATTATCTTACATTTGATCTAAACCAAGACATAACTTCCTAGTTCATACCTGAAGCTGGTTTTGAGGGTTTTTGTACCATTGTAGCCTGTCCTGAGGCCAGATTTCCTGTGTTAAATGTTCAATCATCCAAGCTGTTGCTGCCACCAGCTAACAAGCACACACAGCCATCACAGCCTAGTTGAGCTTCTTCTTGTTGTGGCTAGTGATCCAGTTTTGTCTTTAATTCTACCTTGTTCCATCATTAGTTCTTATAGGAGGTAACTTTTCTCAGGGCTTTGGTGGGAAGTTTGGAGTCCAGAAGGATCGCATGGACAAGGCTGCCCATGTTTTCTCCGAACCTCAGGGTGGTGTCGGCACTAACTATGAACCAACCAAGCCACAACTACCAGGTAAAACTCTTTCTTTTAAGGTTCATCATTGTATAAGAAAAGTGCAACCAAAATTTTGAAGGATGTAATATATGAGAGAGATATGAGATTCAAGAGAAAACTATGATAGAGATTACTGAGCTACATAAGTGAGACCTGCAAGTGAGAGTTGTAAGTGAGAGAAATAATTGGATGTAAGTGAGAGATATAAGTGAAAGATATGAGAGAGAGTTATAAGAAAGATAGATATATATGAGAGAAAGAGATGAGAGAGGTGATGGGGGTAGTTGGTAGGTAAGGCTGTGCCACAGTATCAGTAACATTGGGTATCACCTTTTTTGTGGTATTGGTGAAAAAGTGGCCGATACCAATCAGTACTTTTAATATGCTAATATTGCACATGTTGATAAATAGTAATATTAACACTCAGCACATGTGTAAATTACCTAGGATAACCCAAAAAAATCTGACAGTGTGACTTATTTCCAGTGGGGTTAGCAGTAGAACTGGGCATTAAAAAACAACAAAAAAGTAAAATGGACATATAGTACACTCATTACTTACCTTAAAATACTTGTAGTCTTAATCTAAGGTGAGATGAGTAGTATTTATTGTAAGAAATCAAGTGTGATATGTATGGTAGTCAGCCGGGCTACCATACCAGGCCACATAATATTCTATAACATTTAAGCATCCCAGAGTGATAAAATGCATATACAGTTCACTCATTACTTACCTTAAAATATTTGTAGTCTTAATGTAGGGTAAGAGGTGAGTAAACGAGATAAAACGAATAAATGAGAGAGAAAGAGAATGACTACATGCGAGAGGACACTCGTGGAGTTATGTAAACAAACCAGGCGAATGTGAGTTATGTAAACAAACAAAGTGTACACGTCTGGTTTGTGTACAGGTTACATTGTGTACATATTGTCTCTACGTTGATACGGTAGAATAAATAAAGAGGAACACTCCCATTCTCACGTAACACCATTTTTTAGAAGAAATGATGCTCTGAGTGAGGGCATACAAAAGGAATAATTTTCTACAGTTACCCCCAATAACACATTTTCCCTGACATTAGACTAGAGAAAATGTTATTCTTGCCATCACCCGTACAAGTTGTCTGGCTACCACATCTCATATTTATGTTTATTTATTCTACTGTGGGGTGTATTTATCATCTTTATATGTTATGTATCATGTTTATTGTATAATTTTGAAAAAATATCATACATGGATTAATGAAAATGTGTATACAGGTCCCCCTCAGCATTTGCGTTTTCAACTTTCGCAGGCTTCACACATTCGCGAATTCCCAACTGCCAAATTCCCAGCCTCCAAATTCCCAGCCGCCAAATCATATTTAAGTTTCCCGCCACCTGTGAGTCCCTACTATCCTCCCTCCGACCCCTGCAACTGGCAGCCAGCCCTCCCACCAGTGTGGCGAGTGTTTTGTTTGTTCATTATTTGCTATTAAACTACAGTATAAATAATGTAAACACATTCATGACTGCATATTGGAATGGCTATTTGGACAGGTATTGGATGGTGACATCATATGTTTACTCTTGAACACAGCAAAGAATCAAACATTTCTGCTACTGCTAATAATAACAATAGTAGTAGTAGTAATAATAATAATAATGATAATAATAATAATAATACTAATAATTATAATAATAATTATAATAATAAATACGATAGAATTGAAGAAGGAAATTGTACAAAAATACGAGGGAGTGGTTGACACATCGTCAATGTGGCTTTGTTTATGCTGGAGTGAGCATTAGTCTCTGTGCTCTTCCAAACATTTCGCAATAATTCATTGTGTTTGGTGCTTGTAGATTGAGTGCGACTGGAGTGGTAGAGGCAGTGGTTGAGGAAGTGATTGAGGCAGTGGGCGAGGCAGCAGTTGAGGCAGTGGGTGAGGCAGTGGTTGAGGAAGAGGTTGAGGCAGTGGGTGAGGCAGTGGGTGAGGCAGTGGGTGAGGCAGCAGTTGAGGCAGTGGGCGAGGCAGCAGTTGAGGCAGTGGATGAGGCAGTGGGTGAGACAGCGGATGAGGCAGTGGTTGAGGCAGTGGTATTTAATAACATACATGTTAACAATAATAATAATAATAATAATAATAAATGTTAATATGTATTATTATTATTATTTATAACATGTTATTAAATACCACTGCCTCAACTGCTGCCTCCACCATTGCCTCAACCGCTGCCTCAACCCCTGCCTAAACCGCTGCCTCTACCAGCGCCTCAACCGCTGCCTCAACCACTGCCTCAACCGCTGCCTCAACCATTGCCTCACCCACTGCCTCACCCACTGCCTCAACTGCTTCCTCAACCACTGCCTCTACCACTCCAGTCGCACTCAATCTACAAGCACCAAACACAGTGAATTATTGTGAAATGTTTGGAAGAGCACGGAGACTAATGCTCACTCCAGCATAAACCAAGCCACACTGATGATGCGTCAACCACTCCCTCGTATTTTTGTACAATTTCCTTCTTCAATTCTATTGCATTTATTATTATTATTATTATTATTATTATTATTATTATTATTATTATTATTATTATTATTATTATTATTATTACTATTATTACTATTATTATTACTATTGTTATTATTAGCAGTAGCAGAAATGTTTGATTCTTTGCTGTGTTCAAGAGTAAACACATGATGTCACCGTCCAATACCTGTCCAAATAGCCATTCTAATATGCAGTCATGAATGTGTTTACATTATTTATACTGTAGTTTAATAGCAAATAATGAACAAACAAAACGCTCACCACACTGAGTGGTGGGAGGGCTGGCTGCCAGTTGCAGGGTCGGAGGGAGGGTAGTAGGGACTTGTAGTGGTTGAGGAAGTGGTGAAGGCATTGGTGGAGGCAGTGGTATTTAATAACATAGCCTAGGAAGGGTTGGAGGGAGGGGGTAAAGGAGGTTTTGTGTGCGAGGGGCTTGGACTTCCAGCAGGCATGCGTGAGCGTGTTTGATAGGAGTGAATGGAGACAAATGGTTTTTAATACTTGACGTGCTGTTGGAGTGTGAGCAAAGTAACATTTATGAAGGGATTCAGGGAAACCGGCAGGCCGGACTTGAGTCCTGGAGATGGGAAGTACAGTGCCTGCACTCTGAAGGAGGGGTGTTAATGTTGCAGTTTAAAAACTGTAGTGTAAAGCACCCTTCTGGCAAGACAGTGATGGAGTGAATGATGGTGAAAGTTTTTCTTTTTCGGGCCACCCTGCCTTGGTGGGAATCGGCCAGTGTGATAATAAAAAAAAATAATAATGTTATTAAACCATAACATGTATGTATTTAGTACAATTTACCACATTTTCATGTATTTTATGATTGTTCATGGTTCAACAAGTTAAGGAAGCAGTATTGTATTATATTTCCCTACAATATTTTGGGGCACTAAACATTCGCGAATTTTCAACATTCGCGAGGCTCTTGATCCCCTAACCCTCGCGAATGTTGAGGGAGACCTGTATTAACGTAATATACGATATTTAATGAGACTCAATGATTATTATTGAGTATTATTATCATTACTAATATGGCATCTCAAGACATAAGACACTCTTACTGATTTTAATGTGTACCTGCTTGCCAGCACAGTGTGTAAGTTTATTTAGGTACAAGTATACATAAGTATAATTGTCAGAGTACAGCAGGGCCCCACTTATATGGCAGGTTAGGTTCCAGGCTACCGCCGTAAAGCAGAAACCGCCGTAAAGTGGAACACCCTTTTTTTCCACTTATAAATGCATACAAACACTAGATAACAAGTTTACACTAACATATATTAAGTTAGCAATAGAACCAGGCATCAAAAAACAATAAAAAAGTACAATACACACATAGTGCACTCATTACTTACCTTAAAATATTTATAGTCTTAATCTAGGGTGAGACAAGTAGTATTTATTGTAAGAAATCAAGTGTGGTATGTATGGTAATCAGCCAGGCTACCTTACCAGGCCACCCCACCCACACATAATATTCTATGATATTTAAGCATCCCAGAGCGATAAAATGTATATACAGTTCCCTCATTACTTACCTTAAAATATAGGGTGAGATGAGTAGTATTTATTGTAAAAAATCAAGTGTGGTATGTATGGTAGTCAGCCGGGCTACCATACCAGGCCAACCCACCCCACACAATATAATTCTATGATATTTAAGCATCCCAGAGCGATAAAATGTATATACAGTTCACTCATTACTTACCTTAAAATATTTGTAGTCTTAATGTAGGGTCAGGAGTAAGTAAATGAGATAAAATGAATAAATGAGAGAGAGAAAGAATGAGTACATGAGAGGGGACAGGCGCAGAGTTATGTAAACAAACCAGGCGAAAGTAAGTTTTGTAAACAAACGAAGTGTTCACGTCTGGTTTGTGTACAAATTACATTGTGTACAGGTTGTCTGTACATTGATATGGTAGAATTAATAAAGAACACTCCCATTCTCATGTAACATCATTTTGAGAAGAAATGAAGCTCTGAGTGAAGGCAATGGAAATAAGTCACACTGACTTTTTTGGGTTATCCTAGGTTCTCTACACATATGTTGTTATGTATGATAATCTATGTAACTGTATTTGTGTATACCTGAATAAACTTACTTACATACATACAAAAGGAATAATTTTCTTCAGTTACCCCCAGTAACACATTTTCTCTTATGTTAGATTAGAGAAAATGTTATTCTTGCCGTCACTTGTACAAGTTATCTGGCTCCCACATCTTATATTTATGTTTATTTATTCTATTGTGGGGTGTATTTATCATCTTTTTATGTTTTGTATCGTGTTTATTATATAATTTTGAAAAAATATCATGGATGGATTAATGAAAATGTGTATATTAACGTAATATATGACATTTAATGAGACTCGGTGAGTATTGTTATTATTATTATTATCATTTCTAATATGGCGTCACTTGTGCAAGTCGTCTGCTACCACATCTCACATTTATGTTTATTTATTCTACTGTGGGG